CAATATTAATTTCTTTTCTGAAATAATTATAGTCTTTAAGTCATGAAACTTACCAATTTTGGTATTTTCTTTACTTTTCCTGGACAGTGCCTCCCTCCCTCTCCGGTTCTGCATCAATTTGTACTAGGTCTATTGACTCTATTCTTCCTTGTTCCTTCATAAGAAACCCTTCCCAATAAAATAAAGGCACCCTGAACAAAATCAATGTTGTATCTACCCTATTTTTCTCTGTCACTTCCCCCAGTCACAAGTTAAAGGGAAAAAAAAAAAAAAAAGGAAGAAAGAAAACTAGGACACCGTGGATAAATTTATAACCACACACAACAATAAAATCTCATCCATTACAATTTTTCCAGCCAAGCCACATTTTTGTAGGCCTTATATATTGCCCCAATTCAATCTCTCAGCCCCCAATGATATCAACCCAATTGTCACTCAACCAATTGATGCCACCCATCAGTGAGTGCACCATGTACCATCGGGGAGAATTGCCCTCGTAATCATGCTCCTCCTCAGAACTATATTGCCAACTCCACAAATTCACCATCAATTCTACACAATCCATTCATTTCTATTGGTTTGTTCACTTTTAATAATTTGGTAGAGTATACTTCGAAATTGTTCGTGGTCTATATCAGTCTATTGATCGTATGTCGCCTACTAAAAGTTATTGTGTTGCCTCAGAGAGAGAGAGCGAGAGAGAGAATAAATAAATAAATAAAACTGCAATAAGCAGCAAGATATAATGCTGTTGTTGAAGTGCATTGTAAGCACAAGGAATTTAAAAAGGATGAAATTTATATGGAACATGCCATTTGAAAATCTTATGCTCAACCAATGAAAGCTTGGGTTTAATGCTTATTTGTTTTGACCTGTCATCAAACTAAAAACCTAAGTCTCATTTTCAATGGCGCAGACTTATTTTTTCACCACCGGGCACTTTTGAGCATGTTGCCTTTGTCTTTTCAGTGAGACAATCATATGCTCCCATTCTTTGTGCTCCTCCTACTTACTTGGAGCCAAATTATGTCAACAGGCTTATTATGATGCTTCATCATCTATCAACCATTGACGTCTTATTAATGGTATTCCTAATGCTGGAAATTGAGTTTCTAGGTGCATTCTAGAAGAACAAGTTTATTTTTGGAGTAATTTAGAAAGTAGAAATGAATTTCTTTTCTAGTTATAATTATAATAATCTTCAAGTTATAAACGATTACTTAATTACAGTATTGATTTTGGAATCTGTATATTTTGTGGTAATTGCGTTGAGTATTTCTCCAACAAATTGTTTATCAATGACCCAAGAATATGAACTTTCTACTTATAATCGTCACAAATTGAATTAATTTATTAATTTCTTCAGAAGTAATTCGCGAGATCATGCACCTCTCTTTCCTAGTTATGAAGGAAAAAGGTCCAACTGGTTGGATAGCAATGATTCGAAACACTTCTTTTTACACTATTTCAGAAATTCAAGGACTCAATCGTATAAATATGTAAAATACAAGACTTCCAATCCTAGCAGGAAAGGGAGGAATCCGATCCCCCCCAAAATTCTTATTCTCCCATCTACACATTTTTGTATCTATGTAGATTAGATATCTAGTGTCAATCCAAGACAATTTGAAATATTATTTCACTATCAAAAATTTGGGGCATGAAGTGCAATTAAATCCATTGTTTGGCCGATTTATATTACTATTATCAATTAGAATAATTTATGGTTGGTATGGTTTGACTAAAAAACGAAGTATCCAGGCTCCATTTAGAAAAAAACCCAAAAATACAAATCCAAAATATGAATTCTAATGTCTACCTAATCGTATTAAAATGAAAAGATCAATCAATTAATCATATTTAAAACTCCAGATAAAAGATAAATTATATTAAACACAAATAATACTATCTATAAGGAAATTCAACAATAGATATAATAAATGACTGTTCAGAAACCACTGGAAAAACTACCAAAAGTGAAACATTAATATTTAAGGGGAAAAAAAAGTCAATCAAATTCAAAACATAAACAAACTAGTACAGATGCAATTACAGTTTCCCTTCACTGTCACTACCATTCATATACAGAACAAAACACTGATTAACAAGTGCTGATCTTCATCTCTTTCCACTATGTAATACACTAGTCATTTTTCATTATAATCTTCCCCGATTCATGTGTATGTGCAAATTACAGGTTTACCATTGAAAATGCTAAGTAAAAAAATATAAATAAAAAAAACTAATCAATCTTACCTTTCAGATGTGATGAAATTCTTTAGTTATTCTTCCACCTTGGGCTTGGAACCGGCGGTGTTGGCGATAAAGGAAGATGTGGAAACCCCAATTGACCTGTGGGCAAAAATAAGCTCGGTGACGGCACAGCGTATGGAGATCTAGGTGATGGCACACATCCAAATGGCAACGGAGACAGCGGAAGAGTTGGAAATGATAGTGGTGAGGCAGTAGAAGATGACGCTGGTGGTGACCGTTGCTGCTGCTGGGGATGTGCAAGGCTGTTCCACCGCGGCAAAGCACCAGAAGAAGATGAGATTGAGCACTGGAGGTACCGCATGTGGGCGGAGATCGGGGACTCCGCCGCTGCGTGCACAGCCGGAAGCGGCGGAAGCGGGGAGAATGGTTGCACAGCCCGTTGACCACCGGCTAACCCATCCATTTGGGACGGGTCAGGACCTGAAGCCGGGACCCGTGCCAGAGGCGGCGGGCGGTTTATAATCTGAGCCAAGGGCGGGGGCCGGATCCTTTGAAGCCGGGAGCTCGGTGGCCTCGGCTGGCTTACTGGCGTGGGACGCTCGTGAGCTGTAGAGCCAGTGAGCTTCTGAACAACGTCGCGGAAGTCATTCTTGTTAATATTGTAAACCGGCGGCTGCTGCTGCTGCTGTTGCTGCTGTAGGTTGTTCTGCGGCGGCTGTGATTGGGGATTTTGATTGATATTCTCAAAAATAGGGATATTAGGAGGCGGTGGAGGGGGTAGTTGCTTTCTAGTGGGTTTGGAGATCTTGTGTGACATTTTATTCAAATGGATAAGGTGCACATCCCTGCCGGCGCCGGGGGTAGAGTCAGAGTTAGAGGCTTTATCCATACCGGCGCCGGGGGTAGACTCGGAGTCAGAGGCTTTATCCATATCCATCTAGATCTTTCTTTTTCTCTACGTTGAGTTTGTGGCTATACAATACTGTGGAAATTAGCCCAAATGGCCTCTTATCTTTTCACTTTATAAATTTAGCCTCCTCGATTTAAATTAAGAGCCTATTTGTGATTGATTTCTTTCTTAAAAAATTAATTTTTTGACCGTTATTTCATTATTTCAATTTTCATATTTGATTTCTTCTTTCACAAGTGAACTTCACTTTTCTTCTAACGATAAAAAAAAATCAATTCTCAAAATCATTCCCAAACAGGCAATAAATTTCTTTATTGTTTATACTCGTTTTTTTGCTCTTAAACCCTTGTTTGAATCACATTTTCTAGAAAAGAATGTATTTTGATAGTAAGGTGTTTGAGCTCCATTTTTATGAAAAAATACATCTTAGAATATTAGATTGATGAGAATGTGTAGTTGAAAAATAAGAAATTTTTTTATTTACGTTTATTATTATTTTAATAAATAATGTATAATTGGAAAGAAAATAGAGAAAATTATATTTTGGAAAGAATGGAAATCAAATAATGCATAAATTGACATAGAATGTGATCAAAAATTAAAAAAAATTGAATTTACGTGTAATATTATTTTACTGAAGAATATGGGATTTAAAGTAAGTTTTGAAAAAATTAATTTTTAAAGAAATGAGACTCAAACAAAGGTTAAATTTATAATTTTTCCTACTTTTTAACTATCTTTATTAAAAACATCATTTTCACCACCATTTCTTTTCATAATAGCCATCGAACAAGGGCATAATTTTGACCATTGAATTAAAATAAATCTTTTAGTATAAATGAAGTACAAAAATAAGATTGAACCCAAAAAAAAATAAAAAAAAAATAAAAAAATCAACACTCTATTTGTTCCCCAATTGAAAATCGATTCGTTTTTCCCAAGTTTCGCCACCATTCGACAAACCTTTAGTGGTGAAATTAACCTAATTAGGTGTACATTCATTGATTTCCTATTGTCCTTTTGTTTTTATGCTTTTGTGGATGTATTAATATTTAATACATCTACTAGTATAAAAAAACTTCAATTCCTTCCTATCATAAATATTTTGGTAATACCTTGTATAGGAATAAAGAGGGCTTGTGTCATGTACTTTCCTATATGTCGATAATCAAAATAGTTTACTCTTTTTAATTTGTATTTTAAGATTAATTATGGAACAATATGCATACATATTCTTTAGGATCTCTGACAAAGCCGTTGTTACATGAAAGAAATTAAAGGTTTTGATCATTTAGTTATCAATACGACGTTAGAAAATGTAGAGATTTAATCATGTATTTTGTATATGTACAAGAAAGTTATAATGTATATCATTCCGCAACTATTGAGTTCGTCAATTCAAAAATGTAAAAATGCAATATCTTTTCTTGCTGCACGAGTGGTAGATTTTGAGAAGTAAAAAAGGATGGTTTTTCATATTCCATTCTTAAATTTTTCCACTTGTCTATTATCAAAATACTAATTTTACTCCTAATTAATTAAAATTTAATTTGATACAGGTTAAGTAGCGTTTCAATAATAAAACATCTTCCATTCCATATTTCACGTTAAAGATAATTTAAATTTATTTGCTATTTTATATTGTTATATGAAAATGGAAAAAATGAGCATTGAATTGTAAGACAGGTGCATAAAACATGCTTGCGTGCTTATAACCGAGTTTGGAGTATTGAAACTTACTTGAAATCTCAAGAAAATGAGAGGTTGAATTACTTGCCTTCTTGCCACTTGTTTGCTCATCAAGTACTCTTTTTCTGGTAAGAAACTCGATCACAAAGGAAGAAATTTGATAGTCACAATCAAAGAACAAATTTTGAAATGTAATATTTCCAAAATCAAGCCCTTTTACTTGTATATATTCCTTCTACTCTCCTTAACCCAAATTTTTATGTTTGCTTTTCATAATAATAGAGTAATGGAAGTTGTATGGGAGTTATTGGTGGTGGGGAGGTTAATTTTCAAATTCAATTTTCAACTCCTCCCTCCAAAATTCATTTCCATGCAAATCGAATCGGGTCAACCCACATGGACGACCTTTTCTCCCAACATCTCCTATTCACACATGATATGCTTGACTTGATTCTAATATAATATGAATTATATTAATTTCAACATTTTCCAAGTTCATAAAAGTAAATGGATCGTTCGACTAGCAAGTTAATTTAAGAGCACCCAACACTATACACCTGCTATAGATATATAGCAGCTCTAAAAGAGGAAATATATTTCTTACCATACCTTAGACATATTTTGTAACACCATATTGAATATTTCTGACTCCTTAATTTATTTTAGAACATACCCAACTTTCTCATTTATATTGTATTCACAATTTTGTAACAAAATAATTAAAACAATTGTCCGATCAGTGAACACAAAATAAGGTGTTAGATAAAATAGTCTTCCTTTCCTACTTGAATTCCTTCATTTCAAGTCAGTTGCTTTCTTAGATATGTTCCAAAATCAAATCAACGGTGGTTATTGCAACATGCTAAAGCAGCAATCACTGAAATAAAATTCTGAGAAATGGTCGAAAGTCATAATGGTATATAAGTGAGGTAATACGTGCCTCAGAGACTCACGCAATGAAGAAGCAGGGATCAATTCTTTCATTTCTCAATGGTCGTTAAAGCTCACGTGGTATGGAACACGTGTTACGATGTTTTCTCCCTTTCTTAAGGCTTATATCTAATCTTACAAATTAAATACACCATACAGATCATACTTCAGATATCCCTCGACACATAACCTGAGTTCTCCTTATAATTATTCATTTATACAATCCCAACTGAGAACTCAATTTGGCTATAGAACAAGTCTTATGGACAGCAAAAAATTATCCATATCGATTACTTGTTGCAATCTCATCTTAATATCTCATCAAGGCGATTGGATCATGTACACAATAGATCACTATGTCTTATCTCAGCACACCTCAAAATGTCCGAGGCAATTGTTTGTGGGAGTGAACCAACCTCAATCTTTTTGACATATTTTATGTGTGCATATTAAATAATAATCTAAAAATCAGAACAAAATATTACTCTTAACACATAAACTCAAAACATTGTTCATTCATGGACTCATATGAAAAAGTTTACATATTATACAATTCATATTCTATGCAATCCCAGAGAATTAACATGAGTCATAAAAACATCTCGAGATAGGTTTTATAAATGGATCAGCTACAATTTTTGCATAGAAATATATTTTGTAAACTCACTTCCTTTTTTCCCATGATGTCTCCTACAAAATTGTATTTTGTATCAATGTATTTGGTTCTGCTTTGATACTTGGAATCCTTTGCACATGCAATAGTTGCCTAACTATCACAATAAATCAATATAGGTCCCACATCACTACTAAGGATTCTTAGATGTTGTAAGAATCTCCTTAGCCAAATAGCTTCCTGTACCGTTGAAGCACATGCTATGAATTCTGCTTCCATTGTAGACAAGGAAATGCATGTCTGTTTCTTACTACTCTAAGAGATGGCGCCATTATTAAGCAAGAATACATATCTCGAAGTTGATTTGCGCTCATCTAGGTCTCCACCATAATCAGTATCTGTGTATCCTTTTAAGCATGAATCATTTCCTTGATAGCACAGGGAGTAATTAGTAGTATCTTTCAGGTATCTCAATATCCATTTAACAGCTTTTCAATGCTCTCTTCTAGGATTGGAGTAATACCTGCCGACCAGACCGTAGCATAACAAATGTTGGAAAGAGTACATATCATAACGTAGATCAAGCTTCCAATCGCACTAAAGTACAGAACTCTGGATATTTCTTCATTTCCTCAAGAGTTTAGAGCACGTACGAAGACTTAGAATTTTGCCTTTTGATACATGACTGTCAATGGGATTGCGATTCTCTATTTTGAAACGTTCAAAAATTTTCTTTATATATGGCTCTTGTGATAGAGCAAGAAGCCTCTTCGAAATCTCTATGGATTTTAACACCTAATATGTAATATGCTTCACCTATATCCTTCATTTCAAAATTTGATGACAACTATTTCTTAATAGTTTTAATATAGTCTTATTATTCCTAGCTAGTAAGATATCATCTACGTAGTGATATAAAATTACAAATTTCACATTGGACCTTTTAAAATAAATACAGTGATCATCGTCCATCATGACAAAATCGTATAAGATAACTGCTTTATCAAATCTCAAGTACCACTGTCTAGAATGCTACTTTAGGCCATAGATTGATCTATTTAATTTATGAATTTTGTTCTCTTGGCCTGTTTTAATGAAACCTACTCATCGTTGCATATAATTTTCTTTCTCTAATTCTCCATTGAGAAATGTTGTCTTCACGTTTATTTGATGTAATTCTAAATCTGTTATGCAACGATAGCTAAGAGTTGTCGAATTGAAGTAAATCTCACTACTGGTGAAAATGTCTCTTCATACTACATACCTTCATGTTGAATATAACCCTTTGCCACCAATCGAGCCTTATACCTCTTATAGTCCCATTAGCTCTTCGCTTATTTTGAGAACCCATTTGTTCCCAATCGCTTTTCAACCAGATAGAAGATCAACTAAGTCGCAAACTTGATTTGATTTCATAGGCTCCATCTTTTCTTCCATTGATTCGATCACATGATAGAGTTTCTTCTACTAAATTTTGGTTTTTTATAATCTTCAGGAGATACTAGGAAAATTGCCCTTCAATCTCGAAATGACGTTTAGACATACTTTTCTAGTACTCTTACGAAATAAAAGCTTCAATGTAACCCTGTCACTTGGAGTTGTAGATAAATTACTCCCAGTTGGATTGGTAGGTAGAAGTGCTTCCTCTTGCCCCTTAGTTGATCCATCAAATACAACTCTATCATCCAATTCATATAAAGATTGTCCATTTTTCATTTCTTCACTACTAGGAAAATCACTCTCAAGAAACGTTACATCACATGACTCTATCCTCTATCTCAGTTATAGTCCCAGCTTAATTTTTACCTATAAACACATATCTTTTTGACTGGTCTGAGTATCTTATAAAGATGCA